CCCAATCACATCCTCATCTGGGGCTGGGGATCAGCCTGCGTGTATGACACTAAAGCAGGAAATGCTCGATGGCTGCCAGAGCGTCTTATAAAGGCCTTTAGTCCTCCCAGAGAGACTAGTAAAACAAATTAATAACAGTTCTTCCAAGGAAGACAAGACTCCTTGAGAAAGAAAAAATTTTCTTTTTACACCCACAGGTGCCGGCTCCATGAATTGCTCAAGATTGAAAATTCTGACCACTTTTGTTGTCATCACCTTTGTTGTTTGCTGCATTTTCATCATGACGCTGGTCGGTATTACAATTTATAAAGAGCTAAGCTCAAATTTCACATCATGTGGCCCATAATTCACCCGAGTCTCTGCTGGGCTTGTGTCTTTATACATTTAGTTAAGAACATAGATGGTGGCCTTCAGCCATTTAATGCTACCAGGTTTATGCTAACTCAGTATGGTCCCCCTTGTGAATGTAGAGGTGGCCATTGGGAAGCCCCACCCGGTACATATTTCCGGTCTGTAGATTGTGGAGACAGGACTGCATATCTTGGTATTCATGGTACACCTACTCAGCAGCACCAACAGAGCTGGAAATGTGTGTCTAAGCCTAAACCTATCTTACCACCAGCTAATGGTGAGTGCCCCTCTGATTGTAATTTCGTCGAAGCTATGCACTCATCCTGTTATGCTTCTTTTACTGAATGTCGGTTCAATAACATCCTGTATTTTTATTCTACGGCCATTTCTTATAAAAAGGCCTCTGGGGGCTCAGATTGGAGTCTTAACACTCAGGTAATAGGACCAGAAAGTTATAATTCAAAAACCCTTAGTGCAGGCTGCTATGTAGAACCTGGACAAAAGGCATGCTGGCCTCAACAAGCTCCGATTCACATATCAGATGGAGGGGGCCCTACAGACCAGGTTAAAGAAAATTATGTCCAAACTGTGTTGCAAAAACAAAGGGAGTCTCTCTTGCCCCGCCTTCATTACCATCCACTATTGCTACCCAAACCTAGAGGCCTTAATTTAGACCCTCAGACCATGGAGATCCTTACTGCCACCCATGATGCCCTAAACCGCTCCAACCCTTCCCTGGCAGAGGATTGTTGGCTGTGTCTCGCATTAGGAATTTCATGGCCTCTAGTTTTACCTTTAAGTAACGAGTCTAATATACTCCCCTCTCCGGATATTTGTAGCTATACCACGCCTTTTAAGGTCCAGCCTCGCTACTTCAACACATCTATTTGCCTTTTTAGTCCCTTTCAAAATAATTCCTTTGATGTAGACCTCGGATTAGCTATGTTTACTACCTGCTCTAGGTTTATAAACACCTCTCAGACAGGCTGTTTAGGGGGGGGAAAATTTATGTATGTGGAAATAACATGGCCTATCCTTATTTACCCACTAACTGGACTGGTTCATGTGCCCCTGCATTGCTCTTGCCAGACATAGACATAATTCCAGGAGATGAGCCTGTGCCTTTGCCTAGCTTTGACACATTCGTTCCTAGGCACAAACGAGCGGTCCAGTTTATTCCATTGCTTATTGGACTGGGTATCTCAGGAGCCCTCGCTACGGGCTCAGCTGGTGTAGGAGTGGCAATAGACACTTACAACAAATTATCTCAACAGTTAATTAATGATGTAAATATGGTCTATCGGTCTGTACAAGATCTTCAGGACCAGGTAGACTCACTAGCCGAGGTTGTCTTACAGAATAGACGGGGACTTGATCTACTAACAGCAGACAAGGGAGGTATCTGTTTAGCATTACAGGAAAAATGCTGTTTTTATACCAACAAGTCCGGGATCGTCAGAGATCGGATTAAAAAACACCAAGAGGAACTAGAAAAAAGGCGACAGGAGCTTTTTGCTAACCCCATGTGGGGCATGTGGAACGGAATTCTGCCTTACCTTCTACCCCTTGTTGGGCCCCTGGTGTCCCTACTCTTAATCCTAACAATAGGCCCCTGCATTTTCAACCGGTTGACTCAATTCATGCGAGAAAGGCTGTCAGCTGTCCAAACCTTAGTGCTGACTAGCCAATACCAAGCCCTAGAAACAAGTGACCCTGATAATCTATAAAGGAGGGAAAGATGCCCCTCCATAGTTACAAAGAAAAAGGGAGGAATGAAAAAAAAAAAATTAAAAATTATAAAAGTCAGGAGCCATGAAGTCTCTCAGGCAGGTCGCGTACCGGTCAGGAATTCCAACTCACTGATAAGCAAGTTTTATGGCTGAGACATCTGGCTCACTGATAAGTAAGTTTTATGGCTGAGACATCTGGCTCACTGATAAGTAAGTTTTATGGCTGAGACATCTGGCTTACTGATAAGTAAGTTTTATGGCCGGGACATCTCCAACTCACTGATAAATAAGTTTTATGGTTGGGACATCTGGCTTAGTGATAAGTAAGCTCCCCGCTCTCCCTGTAGCATTTTGTAATAGTTTAAACGAACCAATAACCGCGTTTCTGCTTCTGTACCCCGCTTCTGCCCTATAAAAGCTCCACAAACCCGACCTGAGGCGCGCAAGTCCCCCGAGGAGACTTTGTGCCCACAGGTACCTGTGTACTAAATAAACCTCTTGCTGTTGCAACCCGAAGGCTGGCTTGTCCTCTGTGGTTTTTCTCTCCTACATTTGGAGGT